AGTGGAGGGAGGTGTGGGTAAAGAGGGAGATAAAAGGCCAGAATTGTGTGCTGCACGAGAAGGCGGCAAGACTGGAAATGGGGTTTGGGAAGGAGAGGAAAATTGGGCAGTATTTTGGTGGCTAGCATAAGGAAAAAGCTGCGGGTTAAATTTCACATGTCTAGACAAATAGACCTTCCCATCCGTAAGGTCGAAGCATTTATAGGCAGATTGAGAGGTGCTATAGCCAAGAAAAAGACACGGAGTAGAGCGAGGAGAGAGTTTAGTGTTATTATAGGGACGTAACCATGGGTAGCACAGACACCCAAATGGTTTGAGTTTGCGGTAATCAGGAGGTTTTTGAAAGAGAGCCTCATATGGGGAGCGATGGGAAAGAAACGGAGTAGGAAGCCGATTGATAAGATAGACAGCGGTATGAAAAGCATACGACCAAAAGGACAAAGGAAGACCAGCGGTATGTAAGAGGGACATACCAGTTTCAACAATGTGACGATGGCGGCGTTCCGCCGTACCATTTTGCTCGGGTGTGTATGGGGGGGTTGTAAAATGAGAGATCCCATGAGAGTTAAACAAAGGTACAAGCTTAAGAAATTCACCACCATTATCAGAGAAAATACTTCGAATAGATTGTTGAAAATAATTTTCCACCAATCGCTTGAATTGAGGAAAAATAGAAAAAACATCAGATTTGTGGGCGAGTGGATACCACCATATATATTTGGTGTAATGGTCAACAAAGATAACATAGTAATGATAACCATCAAGAGAACACTGAGTAGTACTCCACACATCTGTATAAATTAAATCCAATGGTGCACGACTAGTCATAGTATTGATAGAGAAGGGTAATTTATGACTTTTATTGATATTACAAGAAGAACACGAAAACTGGGAAACATTCATCGAGAAAGGGAGATGGAGCTTTAAGTGAACCATCCACATAGGCAAAAAGGCCAAGACCAACGAGAGTGGTTTCAACCTGACGGCGCCACACGAGATAATTGGTCTTGGTTAATTTGATGGGAAAATGCTTGGAGGCAGACATGCGGATGAGGTCCGCCAGAGACGACGAACCAGAGTCCACGGAGCCAGATCCGGAAGTAGTCATGAAGACTTACTGGAGATGAGAGACGCACAAATATGTCCTCAAAAAAAAAAATCTGTTTAAAGAAGGGGCTCTGATACCATATACGAACGGAGTATTTGTGAATAATTGAGTTGCAGTAGTATTCATGTGATGAGGATATTTATACACGTACATGGCATGTAACTAAGCCTACAAACTAGGAGAACAACCTATACAAGTGGAAGAGAACAAGTCTAATGCTATAAACAAGGGATAAACACACAAGCTACGTAACAACTATTCAAACTATGCATTCTTATCTACTTATCTCTAACAGAAGCTGTGGCAGAGACGGCAGCGGAGATGGCGACATCTCTATAGTTCAGGTTCATCAGCTCCTTCCAGTAACACCGCCGTCGGAGGAGGAGGAGGGTTACTGCACCGCAGGTGAGGACCGCTCCAATTATTATGCCCCAAGCAGCAATCATTTTGATTTGATGGAGTGCAGGTACTTGCTGTCAAGGTAATTAATGCCGGTTTAAGGAATTATGAATGCTCAATTTATATACTCCGGGTATTAGAGGGTTTGGGGGGGGATGCCATGGCCTTGTCCCCACACTTGTTTACACACCTGGCCAAATTTGATTTTTAACTCAAGACCGGTCCAAAATATACTGCGTTTTGAACTAGTAGGATGTTATTAACCAAACCCAAAATGATTCCGCTAAAACGAGTCAAACCCGACTGACTTAGTATAAAATTAATATTGTGATTAAAACTTCATTTTCTTATTACTCTTTTTTTAGTGTATAAATAATTATCTTTTCAGGTGAGTTTTTAATGATATTGTATTGTCATCTTACTTCTTTTTTGAAGTACATATTTAATTTCTTGTAGATTGTTTTTTAACACTAGTTACTTTATAACGAGATATCTATTTATGTATTCCCAACTTATTAAGCATGTAGAGTTATTGCCCCATTTGGGATCGAATTTGTTCCTCTCATATATATGGGAGAGTCACAATCATGTCGCTAGACGACCAATTTTTTTTTAGATTATTTAGTACTCCGTATAATATTGTTGTGTATATCAAAAAATTAATTAATTTTTTTAAATAAAATATTGTATAAGCTTCAGGATATGTAGTGTTTTATTAATGAGACAAAGATCCCTTTAAATTTACTCTATATTAAAATTGATTCTTAAGTCTAAATAGACACTGGCTTGACTATGTTATTGCAGCATGGGACTAGACCTATTGAAGGGAACCATGCGTGACAACTTGGAAGCTGGAGTAATCGATCCTGCAATGAGCAAAGTGAAGATACTTAATTCAAGTAAAGCACTTAATAATAAAAACAATAAATAACAAATATTTATATCATTGTCATAAACATAATAATTTGCGCTTTGTGTTGATATTTGAGATAATATTTGTTTATATGAATTTGATCCCAGTTTGCGACTGAAGCGACGATTACGATACTTCGAATTGATGACATGATAAAGTTGGTCAAAGACGAAAGTCAAAACGAAGATCGAGAATGCAATTGTGACAAACATTTAGAGATGGAAGGAGAAAGCTAACATAGTGTGGTCTGGGGTAAAGTTGGTGGGCCCCTTTGAGAAGTTAATAGACCCACGTTTTCAAAATATTAGTAACATGATTGACAGTCTCTCGAAACATCGGCATTATTGCACTCTTTTGCCAACAAAAAACAAAAAATAGACGAGTTGGAATAAGAATAAAAAATAAATAAAAATTCGAAAAAGGGAAAAAGAGAGAAAACAAAAACAGCAGAAATAGGAAAAAAATAAAGAAGTACTTCTCCCTACTATTCAGTGTGTGAGCGAAACAAAAAAATGAATATATAGACCCTATATGTTAATTTAAATTTTGAAATCTTATTTGTTTTATATGAAATACAAATTATTTTTGAAAAACTAAATGTAATCTACGAAGAAAGAAGAATACACAACTAATGAAATATATTTCCTATGTCCCAAATTAAATTACATGTTTGCTATTTACATTGTCAAACTTTATTCATTTTCTTTCCTTATTTTTATTAGTCATTAGATAATAATAATATAATCATGTCACCACTAGTTCTGTAGATATTCTAAATATGTAATATTTTTAAATTGTACACCATTTTTATATAAAGTATTTTGAAAATAACTTCGATCAAATATCATAAATCAAAATTAGGGTTGAACACGGTCCCAGTTTTGCGAGCGTGATGTTAACAACATCCTAGTTCAAAACCTAGTATTTTTTGGTTAAAAATCAAATTTGGCCAGGTTAGTGTGGGGACAAGGTCATGGACACCCCCCTTGAGTTTTCTGGACCCCATAGGACTCAAGGTGGGTCCGACTCCTATCATGGCATCCCCTCTTGAGTCCTATGGAGTCCCGGGACCCCACGGACCCCGGTGTAAGTCTATATAATATTAGGTTTGTAATAATATTTATATATAACACGCGCGTAGCTATTAGACAGATTTGCGTATGTTGGAGTGGAAGCGTGCGGAGCACCTTTGCCCTCTGTGACTGTGTTCGACTCCTGTCAAGACCCTTGGAGTCTGAATTTTTCCTTTTTTATAAAAAAGAGCATGGAGCAAAATTGACCTCTCTTCCCCAATTCTCTATTTCACATTTTAATTTTGAACCTTAACTTTTCTCCGTCTCTCTTTCCTGTCGCCCGCCGGCCTCTGTTTGCCATTCCACCGAAGTTCGACCACAGTCACCACACTCCACAGCGGCAGCCCCGACACGTAATTAGTCTAAAAAACTTTTCTTTATTTTAATAAAATTAATTTTTATGCTAGTTTGAAGTTTGANTTGACCTCTCTTCCCCAATTCTCTATTTCACATTTTAATTTTGAACCTTAACTTTTCTCCGTCTCTCTTTCCTGTCGCCCGCCGGCCTCTGTTTGCCATTCCACCGAAGTTCGACCACAGTCACCACACTCCACAGCGGCAGCCCCGACACGTAATTAGTCTAAAAAACTTTTCTTTATTTTAATAAAATTAATTTTTATGCTAGTTTGAAGTTTGATATATGATTAGTAATATATAAATACTCCCTCCGTTCCCCAAAACCATTCCCATTTTGACTTTGCGCACTTTTTCATAAATTTATTTTTTATTCATTACTTATTCATTAAAAAATCAAAGTTTTTCTTCAATAAATAAAAAATTGATTTAGGATTGTAAGTGATAAGTATTATTTTATTAATGTTCATTTTATGTCTAATTTATGTAATTAATATTAATTTTTTTTATAGAATTTAAAATGCAAAGGTACTTCAAAAAGCTACCCAAATTCAAAGATTCGAAGTCGAATGGAATTAGTAACAGTGTTAGTGCTCCGGTGTCTCAACTCTCAAGTAAATGCTCCATCTATAGTTATTCAAAAAATTTCTCAATCCACTCCTGTTCAAGAAGGCACTCAACCTACACATATTCAAGAAAGCTCTCAATGTACTTCTATTGAAAGAAATTTTGATTTTGAGTCTTTGGAAGCTGACCCTGGATTTTGAGTTTTGGAGATGTCTTTTCCACCATTAGTGATGATGTAAGAAATATTTGCACTAAATAGCACTAAAACTTAAGTCATTTCTCTAAATAGCACTTAAATTGTTCTATTCTCTAAATAGCACTTAATAATGTTTATAATGACCAATGATGACAAACATTTACTTGAATAATAACTACTGGATAATGACTAAAAGTGCTACATTGGGAAAAAAACACATGTAGTGCTATTTAGGGAAAGTCATTATGTTTTAGTGCTATCTACGTAAATTCCTCATGATGTAATTATAGATCACTTTCAAAGTATGAAAGCTAGACGAGTATACTTGTAAACGATATTATTTTCATATGACTTTATTCTATGTATTAATTATGGTACTTTTCAAATATTAGATTTAAGTTATTGTTAAATATTAAGAGTTATGAAGTAGTTCGAGATGAGAATGGGAGGTAGAGGATCCCATGGTTGTAAAATCCTAATCCGCCTCTGGTGTTGAGTAGGCATGCCATCCCAACTTCATAAATGTTATAAAGCCAAAAAGCATCAGACGCCTACACTATTTGCAATTATGCATACACACCCTTTCTAAGAGAATGTGATCACACTTGATACTTCTTGACTCGGTGCTTTTGAGTTTTCACAACAGTGGAAAAAAAATTGGTGAGTATAAATAACAAAGTTCATAGAAATAAAATTTGTTGAGTTTATAGATATGACAAACTTAGCAAGATAAAATTGGTAGTGAGTGTGTTTCAAAAAAAAAAATCAAGGAGTATGTACATGTAAAAGTATGAGATTCAAATAAACAAGACACGAGAGAGTATATCACATGAATCTGTGAATCTCCTTTATGGAAAATGAGCAAATTCAGCATATTCCTCATGTCCTTCATAAGTCTTATGAAACTGCAGCACCAATGGCCGTCTTCAAACAATCCCTAAAAAGTCAAACAAACAAAAATCAATATCAATTGCAGAGGGATCACATGGAAAAATAAAAAATACACCCTCTATGTACCGAACTGAAAATCGGGTTTTCAAATGATTCTAGTAAAATTATATCCCGAACCAAACTAAACCATTTTTAAAATGGTACGGAATGCCGGGACGGGTTTCCAAAAAATAAATATTGAAAATACCAAACCGAACGGTTAGTAAGTTTTAGGTGATATTTATTTAGTGTGACTTTCACATACTTGAACTTATATTTTTATACTCCGTAATACTTTATTCAGCTTTACAAGATCAGGAAGTTCACATTAGCAATCATACAAAAGGATTACATTAAGCTTGTTAAATCTCCAGGTAACATCCATCCACTAATAAGGAGGGGGGAGTTCTTGATCCATGTAAGAAATGGCAAAAACATGGTGCTAATGTCATCGCAAAATCATATAATCATCATTCATGTAATAAATCTCAAATATACAAATTATACAAATAGTTTCAATGATGCAACCAAAGAATGCCCCTGGGAATTGGGTGGGATAGAATGGGCATATGATCTAACAGCAGAAAAATGGCAAAGTGATGATCAATTGAACTCATCTCACTACATTTACATACTTGAAAATTTTTAACTTAAAAAGATTCAAGCCAGGTGGTTTTTACCACATTTTCACTAGATTTAATAACATAACGTGCAAGTCCTTTAGACTCATTAACCTTGTTTTTGCTGACGGCCTGATTGTGATAAGTAATGCAGATGAGGGGTCTATTGACTGCATTTTTAAAGCTTTGGAGCACTTCACTCTGACTACTGCACTACAAATTAATCATGCTAAATCACAGATTGTTGTGGGAGTCAAGGAAGATAAAGAAAAAAGCTTTTTGGAACGCGATAATATCCCTAAGGGAGTGTTCCCTTTCAGATACCTTGGAGGTCCCATAACTGCAGCTAGGATCAGTCAAAGAGTGTGTGATACCCTGGTGGAAACTTACCAGTAAAGTTACCTCTTGGGCTACCAAACATGTATCATATGCAGGAAGAGCTAGGCTAATTCAATAGTGTATCATATGGTGTGGTTTTCTTTTGGACTAGACTCTTTTTTATTCCTAATAAGGGGATGAGGGATCCAGGATATATGCAGAAATTTTCTATGGAGTGCATCTGTTTTCTATAAAAGATGTCCACTGATTGGCTGGGAAGAGGTCTACCTTAACAAAAGTAAAAGTGGACTGGGGTTGAAGAACCTGGTCTTTTGGAATAAAGCCAATTCCATGAAACTGCTATGGGTCATTGCTTACAGAAAAGGTATCCTACGGGTTAAGTGGATCCATGAAGGTATCTTAAACAAGAAGGGATATGGAAGTACAAACCAAAGGGATAAACGACTGCTAAGATCCATTTTATTGAAGACACTGTAAAGAACCGCAAATTCATTACTCTTCATTCATAATAACCGTTTCCTCAAAAAGAGGGGAGATTACTAAATCTGTAGGTAACATCCATCCACTTATAAAGAGGGGATATTTCAACATAAAAGTTCTCTACTCTAAATCCAAGTAAGAAATGGCAAAAACATGGTGCTAATGGCATCGTCATATAATTATCTTATCATTCATGTAACAAATATCAAATGTACAAATTATACCAATAGTTTCAATGATGCAACCAAAGAATACCCCTAAGAATTGGGTGGGAGAGAATGGGCAGATGAACTAATAGCAGAAAAAAGGCAAAGTTATGATCAATTGAACTCATCTCACTATATTTAGTATTTACATACTTGAAAATTTTTACCTTAAATAAATTCAATCCAGGTAGTTTTTTTCTGCATTTTTCATTCTATTCGATAATAAGGATCCAAAAAATAGGATAACGTGTCTACAGTTTTCAGATTCATTGACACACAAGTAAATGAATATTAAGAATAAGGGACATAAAGGAAAGAGAGAATGAGTAGCTCTTCGTCATGCAACATAATCTCCATGGTCGTTTGTGTTTGACGACTGCTAAGATTCATTTTATTGAAGACATTGTAAACGTAATGAAAAAAGTGGAGGTTATTAAAAGAAATAAATAACAAATACACTACTTGAAAACTGTGTACTTTAGTGATCCATATAAAAGTGGTTTAAAGTTCAAACATCACAATGATATTTGATTTTCCTTGTATTATCAAGGTAAACCAAGTATTAAAAAATCATTCTCTTCAATCCTTTCCGTAACTTTTCAGGGTTACAACGCAGCCTAAATAACTCAGAACTTAACACTGTTATTACTTGACAAACAATAGTGAGATTGGGAAATGGCGTACTTGAATAAAGCACGAGCCCATGTTAATCTTAGAGGATTGAATAAAATGCAGTGGATAATGAATGCCAGCTTTTATACTCGCTAGAATACGTACAACATTACTCACCACACCAGTCATGAACCCTAGAACCTGAAAATGGAGCGCAAAGGTAGCAATCTCATAAATGATGCATGCCATTTAAAACACAGTTCAATAAACTTAAGAATATGATAATAGAGAATGAACCCTGTGGTCAAAAACTTCAAATCATCAGCCATGTATGTTCAGAGAGTGTATATATTGCAGCAATGCAGTCAATAAAACTTTCTTATTGGAACTCAAAAGGTATGACAATTGACAAGTTCAATAATTAAAATATACAGAATCAATAACCTCTCTAATCTCAACCAAATCCCATGTCCTTAGAGAAAAATAAGATCTTTTTTCCATTACAGAGCTGATCGTTAAGTGTGATCAAATTAGGTTAGTTACAACCATTTATACACGAGAATCAAAATTTTACCTACAAATAAGAACAAATAAAGTTTGCAACTGGGCCTAGCATAAGCATGTCTTACATAACAAGTATGAATTAGACCTGTATGTTACACACAAAAGTTCAAATCTAACCTCTGAACTTTGATCCTGTGAAGAAATTGAAGAAAAGATGGACAAGATTATGGCCCTGCTTGGAAAATGGCTTTTTGGGTAGCTTTTGGCATGTTTGACTGATTTTAGCATTTTTGACTGAGCGAACCGCCGGTCCGGGTACCGGAACCGGTACCGTCCGGTCCGGTCACGGTACCGGTATCAAGGGGTGGCGGTACCGGAACCGCCGGTTCCGGAACCGGAACCTTACCGGAATCTGCACTTCTGTTTTCTTGATGTTTCTCCTACATGGCATGGCTTATGGTGTAAAGTATTAAAGGGGGCAATAAGACCAGCGTCAAAGACAAAAAGATTGCCTTTGAAAAGAAAGCGGCAAGGCACTTCTCATTTTAAAAGAGAATTTGAGTTCTTGCTTCATGGTCTTGCTCTTCTGAAGAATCCTAGCAGCGAGAAAAGGGGTGGTGAATTTTGTGATAAGATTGGTTTAAAATGGATTGATTACAGAGAAGCATGTATAATCCTTATTATGCAACCTAGGAAATGTCCACTATCACTGGACATTATTTCTCTCCCTAGACATTATTAAGTCCTATTTAGGGAATAAAAAAGTTTAAGTCCTACATTGGGAAATGACTAATGTTTTAGTCCTATTTAGTGCAAATTTTTCTTTGAAGAATCCTAGCCGCGAGAAAAGGGACAACTTATATAGATGTGGTGAATTTTGTGATAAGAATTGGTTTAAAATGGATTGATTACAGAGAATCATGTATAATCCTTATTATGCAACCTTTCTGTCTGTAAAGCTGGAGATTTATTTTGTTTATTTGTTAAGATCAACCATTCATTTATCATATTAGCATCTGAAAAGAAAAACGTAATGATAATTCATCCCCCTTTTGGCTTACTTCTTTTGATTACCAACGGCATATTTGGTAAATGAGCAAATTCAGCATATTCCTCATGTCATTCATGAGTCTAATGCAACTGCAGCACCAATGGCCGTCTTCTAACAATCCCTAAAAAGTCAAACAAACAAAAATCAATATAAAATACAAAGGCCTCCCAAGGAAAAATACACACTCTATGTATAGCTAGAACGTGATCAAAAGACCTCACCAGATCCTCTGAGGACAAAATATCTCCCAACAAAGCTTTCCGTCACAGATGATTTTCCAGAGCTCTAAATTTCTCTCTCCATCCTCTCAATTCTTCTTTTGTGTCATTCCTCTTTGGACTTCTTTGTGGATCAACTGTAGATCTGGTGCATGAAGGCCTCATTGCTCGCGTTGCAGGTCGCCGCATCTATCATCCCGGGTCACCACCTCCATATTGCTGTAGATCCATGCCGCCATCTCCACTTTGCCCCTCATTCAGCCTTGCCGGTGACATAGCCGAAAGACAAGATCTACAATTACAATGGCAGATCATTGTTAACTTCTGTTGATCTTTAATTAGACCTCACAGCCCCAGGCGCATGAACCGGATAGAGTGAGGAGACGGAAACGGAACAGAGAGAGACCTAGGGTTTCCGGCGCGGCGTCCGGCGACGAGAACTCCGACGAAGGGAACATCAATTGCACGGCATGGATTCCGGCAACTCAACTCCGACGAAGACTTAATTCCGGCGAGGACTAACGGCAGCTATGCTAGCAGTGGACCGAAGTCAGTGGACGAAATATTAAACCAATAACACGGTTGACCTATTCTTATGGGATTAGGAGAATGATGGTTTGCAGTTTGCACTTCACCTATTCTTATGGCATCAAGTAATGCGTCACAAACCAAACATTCACAAAATATACAAACTTACTACTTGTGTATTTTAGTTTTTATTTTCTAATTATTTGAGACCACTATTTCAAAACATTAGTTTACATATTGGGTAAGTTTGTGTATTTTGTGAATATTTAGTTTGTGACTCTAGCATTACTCAATAGCATCAGGAGAGTCACAGTTTGTGGCTGACCTACTTTTGTGGGATCAGAAGATAGATTTAGTCAAGGGTGCTTACTTTATGTGGCTCTTATTTAATTAGTTTATATAATAATTTAATTAATTCCAGGTTTTTAGCTAAGGTTGGTTGTTACATGTAGCCTATTTATAGGCTTAGTTGTTCTACTTTTTTATTCATCAGTTTTTTGCTATCAATAATAAAAAGAGTACTCTGTATTATTCATTCCTTTAATTATCAATCTTTCTCCAGATTTCAGTTTGCTCATCTTTTCTTTTTCAACAAGTGGTATCGGAGCCATTCATTTGTGAGAGATCACATATTATAGCTGTGTGAGAATTCTTGTTGTCAACAAAATAATAGACCTACAAGTTGTCAACGGTATGAAGAAGCTCAACAATAACAATTATAATATGTGGTCAACGTGCATGATGTCTTACATGCAAGGGCAAGACCTGTGGGAGATAGTCAACGGCAATGTGGTGGTTCAACCCATTGAGGATGCAAATGGATCCTTACGGAAGTGGAAGATCAAGGCAGGAAAAGCATTGTTTGCCTTGAAAACAACAGATGAAGAAGAGATCCTTGAGCACATCAGAGATGCTGGAACACCAAACGAAGCTTGGGCCGCACTAGCCAGGTTATTTTCAAAGAAGAATAATTCCAAGCTCCAACTTTTGGAGAGTGAGTTGCTCTCTATTTCACAACGTGAAATGACGGTTGCACAGTTTTTTCACAAGGTGAAAACACTGTGTCGGGAGATTTCTGAGTTAGATCCAGAAGCCGCCATCAAAGATGCCAGGATAAGACGCATCATCATCCATGGTCTCAAACCTGAATATAGAGGTTTTGTTGCTGCTATACAAGGATGGCCAGAACAACCATCACTTATTGAATTTGAAAATTTGTTAGCTGATCAAGAGGTGTTAGCTAAACAGATGGGAGGAGTCTCGCTAAAGAAAGAAGAAGAGGCACTCTACGTTAACAGAGGAAGACATAATTCAAAGCAGCATACTGGTGGATCTAAGAAAAGTGATGAAGAGACGAGGGACCGTCAAAATGAAAGGAAAAGTCGTGGAGGTGGAGCTTGGAAAAATCAAAAACAAGGAAGAAAGTTTGAAGGAATGTGTTTTAATTGCAACAAAAAGGGACACATGGCAAAAGACTGTTGGTCAAAGAAGAAGACTGTAGAAGGCAATACCGCCACTTCTACAGTAGATACCGCCACTTCTACAGTAGAGGAAGAGTGGGATGCTGAGGCATTCTTTGCTGCCGATGAAGCTGAGGTCGCATTGTCTGCCACAACAAGTCAGATTGACTATGGAATTAAAAGCACGTTGACCGAGGCGGCACGGTCAATCCAAAAGTGTACACCGGAGGAGGAGTGCATATTGGTGTCGGCTTAGAATGACGTCTCCGAGCATCCTATCATTGGTAAAAATCCATTGCCTCTGGTTCGGGAGGGTTGCCTCTGTTTCCGCTTCTTTCCGCGATGAAATCAGTCGGGTAATGATTGAACAACTTCGGGCGTTCAATCTCCAAGAACAGGAGAGGTTGAAGCTAAAGGAGAAGGAGTTGAAGCTAAAGAGGCAGGAGGCCGAGATGAAAGTCATGCAAACCGACCCCGGGACGTTGTCGGAGTTTGGACTAATGATCTACGAGCAAAGAGTGAGAGAGATCAAGGAGAAATATAATTTACCTTAGTTTTTTTATTAATGTATCTTTTTTTAAAAATATTGACGCTTTTTTTATTTAATTAATCTATTTTTTATTATTCGTGTTTCAATTTAATTAAATAATAAATTAATTTAATTTTATTAATTTAATTTTAAAAGATGTATATTTAAAAATGTAAAAAAATGAAGGTTTGAAGCCCCATTTTGAAGCCCCGGGGCTTCAACCCCATTTCCAGAAAATTTTGAGTGTAAGTTAAAGCTGACGTGGCAGAGAGAAGGTTTGAAGCTCCATTTTGAAGCCCCGGGGCTTCGAACGTATTTCCAGTGCTCTTAAGGGTACTGCTCTGTTCGTTTCCCACGCACATCTCGACCCTTTTAATTGCGTCACTTTTCATTTTGTTGACCGTGTTGTTTGAATTTCAACATCTCATGTGTAAAGTACGTAATAAATTGATTGGGAAACACTACATACCCTCACTTAGCCCTAAATTTTTAGGACCTGAATATTTTTGGGTATTTAATATTTTGATTGCTTAATATTTTAAAATTTAATATAAATTTATGTTTTATTACTCAAATTGGTTTAAAATTAATTCTTAAAAATCAAATTTATCATTAATTTTGAAGTGTAAATACTCTACAAAAAATAAAATAGGATATGACAAGAGATTTTGACAGAGGGCCAATTACATTTATTTATATTTCCAGACCCGCCGCCCCAGCAACGAGATATCCGGAGCCAGTTATTATCTTGTAAGCTCGCTTCCAAAAAAAACAAGGAAATCTTGTAAGCTCTTTAGGTTTCTTTTCTTAATTGATTTGTTTTATAATGGATGACAGAATTTAAAAAGAATTACAAAAAAAAATATTGGCCTCGGCTATGTTTCGAACAATGAAAATGATATGGAAAAGTTTAGAAATAAATGCAAGAAAGATCTTTTAACAAACTAAAAATTGCAAACAAGAAAGTTTAAGACAAATGTTAGAAAGATCTTTTAAGACATGGCAGCTTTTTCTACTCCTTGAATTGCAGACAATAAATTTAAAAAAAACATAAATTGTACTAGCATGAACAACATCAATAATTAGTCTACGACGACCAACCACCTAGGAGGACAAATTTGTCGTCCTCTGGGACTTCACCACAGTTGAAGTAAAATCCCATCGGCCTGACCTGCCAATAAGAATGCCTCTCATCAACGCACCACTAGTGGAGGCCATCGAAGACTGTGACGGCACGGTGCTGGGAGCCCCAGGTGAAATAGCACTTGAAAAGAGTCATGCTATTGAACTGCACCCGGAAGGGAATCTCACGCCCCTGATTCTCCACCAGCGTCCACGGCCTCAAACTGTCGCTATTGGAAACACATTTCACGACCAGTGGTTGCGGAGGCTGGACTGGGTTATGGGTAGGGATGGTATTATTAATGTGTACCACCTTCTTCGGGCAACAGAGAGGAAAGACATGACCCGACGGCCCTGCCTCATAGAAGAAGAAGAAGAGGAGGAGGAGGAAGATTAGGGAAAGGCCAAAGAGTGGGGAGGTAAGCTTGTTCATCATCCTCGGCTCGTCTTCTTCTTAATTGAATCAGGGAGGTTATGAGCAAGGCAATGTGATAAATTCAAGGTGGTCGTACGTACCCTGATATATATATATATGTGTGTGTGTGTGTGTGTGTGTATGTATGTATATATATATATATATATATATATATATATATATATATATATATATATATAGCATCAAAAGTGCGTGGTGTAAGGTGCCATGTGATGAGAGTGGGGGCTCGGAGCCTCAAATGTCGAGCCCACCTAAAAGAGATCGAGCAAAGGACAAAACGAGTAGTAGTCCTCCAAAGTCACTGCTGGCACCCGGCCTTCTTCTTCTTCACACCCTTCCATCTCTCGTACGTTGATAAAGCCTAAAAGAGGAAGTGGCATGCAGTGCCCTAAACACAATGTGGATGAATGATGCAACCCCCACCCACCCAACCCCAAAGATTTAACACTTAAGAGCATTGGTAATACATCTCACGCCCCACGGCGTGATAAGGCGTTTTAATGCCTGGGGGCGTTAAACCCCCCCCCCTCCCATCGGCGTGATTTGGGCGTGATCCGGCGTGCGTCAAAGGAATGACGCTACGTCATTCCTTTCCCCTCCCCCTTAACGGCTATAATAGCCGTTGCACCCCCAATTCAAAAAAAATTGCAAAGATCTTTTAACAAACTAAAAATTACAAACTAGAAAATTTAAGACAAATGCTAGAAAGATCTTTTAAGACATGGCAGCTTTTTCTACTCCTTGAATTGCAAACAATAAATTTAAAAAACATAAATTATACTAGCATGAACAACAACAATAATTAGTCTAGGACCAACCACCTAGGAGGACAAATTTGTCGTCCTCTGAGAATTCACCATAGTTGAAGTAAAATCCCATCGGCCTGACCTGCCAATAAGAATGCCTCTCATCAAAACACCTGTCGTGGAGGCCGTCGAAGACTGTAACGACATAGTGCTTGGAGCCCCACGCACGTGAAATAGCACTTGAAAAGAGTCATGCTATTGAACTGCACCCGGAAGCGGATCTCCCGCCCCAGGGATGGTATTATTAATGTGTACCACCATCCTCAGCTCGTCTTCTTCTTAATTGAATCGGGGAGGTTATGAGCAAGGCAATGTGATAAATTCAAGGTGGTCGTACATACCCTGATATATATATATATATATATAGCATCAAAAGTGCGTGGTGTAAGGTGCCATGCGATGAGAGTGGGGTCCGAAGCCTCAAGTGTCTAGCCCACCTAAAAGAGATCGAGCAAAGGACAAAACGAGTAGTAGTCCTCCAAAGTCACTGCTGGCACCCGGCCTTCGTCTTCTTCTTCTACACACCCTTCCATCTCTAGCTCGTTGATAGGACCCATAAGAGAAAGCGGCATGCAGTGCCCTAAACGGAATGGGGATGAATGATGCAAGCCCCACATACCCACCCAACCCCAAAGATTTCACACTTAGCTTGTTTGCCCTCTACACTTAATTACTTAATTATCACGGTGTGGTTAAGTACCATTTTCATCCAGGCCAGCTAGCTAATCTCACCTTATTGGGAAGTTTTTCTCGTGAATGATGGATCCACATTTAGTACTATTCAAGCACCAATAATGATGGATCAAAATGTCCCCCATAGTTATCAAATGCGCCAAACACGTACAACCCCATTTCTAAAGAAGGGATTGAATTACCACATGTCATTAAAGACGTAAATTCTCATCACTCTTGCCATTAAGGGTGTGTTTTGGTTCCTCCGTCGTTGTTTCTGGGAGAAGACGACAGCCGACGACGGGGACTCCACAATTGCCTCCGCCGCCACAGTCCCCCTAGTCCGCCGGCCAACAACTCTCTGGCGCCTCCACTTTCACCCCTTTTCAATTAGAAATTTAGTTAGCTTTTTAGAGCACTGGTAATGGGCTTCACGCCCGCCGGCGTGATGGGGAGTTTAACGCCCCGACGGCGTTAAACACCGCCCCCCTCCAGGCGTGATCGGGCGTGATCGGCACTGCGTCAAAGGAATAACACGGAGTCATTCCATTCCCCTCCCCCTCCCTAACGGCTTTATAGCCGTTGCAGCCCATTTCAAAAAAAAATTCTTATAAATTCAAACCTCCTTCTCCCAATCTCTCACAGCTTCTCCATCTTCAATCTCTTCTTCTTCCCAAATTTTAAATTTCGAAATTACCCCCTCTCTATTCAACATGAATCCTTCCGGCTCCGGCTTCTTTCCCGACGATCTCCCGCCGAGTGACACCGCGATGTGGTTGTTCCAACAGTGGGGCGATCGACCGCCGATCTACGAGACGCAACATTCGGGGTACGTCGACCGAGAATGGGTTACGGAGACTCAACCGGAATTGTCCGAATAAAAAAAAGTACACGCCAGAAAAGCCATAAAGCCAAAAGCACGTTGACCGAGGCGGCACGGTCAATCCAAAAGTGGACGCCGGAGGAGGAGTGCATATTGGCTTCGGCTTGGGTTGATGTCTCCGAGCATCCTATCATTGGTAAAAAATTTCTTTTTTCTAATATATTTATGTTTTTATTTTTATATATTATATTTAATGGTGTCTAAAAAAATTGTGTAATACATTTTTAAAGGTACGGAGCAAACGAAGGATGTGATGTGGGATCGTATCGAGAAGAAGTTCTTCACGGCGATGAATAAGGACGGCTCTTACCGAACTGGAGACCAACTCACTTCCAAATGGAGCCACATCAACAAAAAAGTCTGAAAGTTTATCGGAGTTTACGAGGAATGCTCCCGGTCCTGGAGAAGCGGCACGAACGACGCCGATGTTCTCCGGCTTGCCACGACCCGGTATCAAGACGACGGGAACCAAGGCAAGGTGCCCATTGTCCATTGATCTTTGGAGGATTTTGAGTCGTTCCCCAAAGTGGCAACAACTCTACAATCCCGACGGCGGATCGTTCTGAAAAAGATCCACCGTCGACGTCGAGGTTGAGGTCGACGAGACCATCGGTTCTACCGATAAAATCTCTCCCTTCAACGTTGCAGATTCCGATGACGAGGACCCCATTCCACGGCCGATCAGAAGAAAGAAGGCAAAATCCATTGTTTTTAGTTTGGGTGGGTTCGCATCTGTTTCCGCTTCTCCCCGCGACGAAATCGGCCGGGCAATGGTTGAACAACTTCTAGCGTTCAATCTCCAGGAACAAGAGAGGTTGAAGCTAAAGGAGGAGTTGAAGACAAAGTAGCATGAGGCAGAGATGAAAGTAATGCAAACTGACCCCGGGACGTTGTCGGAGTTTGGACTAA